GTGTGTGTGTGGTGTGTGTGTATGTGTCCATGTGTGTAGGTGCTTGGGGAGGCCAGAAGAGGGTGTTGGATTCTCTGGGGCGGGAGTTACAGGCAGTTGTGAGCTTCCTGTTGTGGGTGCTGAGAACGGAGCTTGGGTCCTCTGCAAGAACAGTATATGGTCTTAACTACTGAGCCATCTCTCCAGCTGCAACATATATATATGTATATATATGTGTATATATACGCATATATGTATATATGTTTTATATCTTCTCTTTAACAATAGTATTTAATTAAATTTAACAATTCTATTTAATTTTGCAATAATAACCTGGAATAATCTTTTGGTGCACTTTGATAGGTTCCATAATCTTCACTAAAGACTATGTTCATATTGTCCGGTTACCCACAGTATCACTTTATTTAATTAATTAAAATATTTTATTATTTTTATGATAAATGCTGAAACTAGTATACATTTTTTCTTGCTACTTTTTTGCCTGCCTTTCACCTTATAATCTTAGTCAATTATATGCTTTCTATTAGACGTTACCTTAAGACTCCCAAATTATCTCTACTTACTTAACTACACATTTCTCCATCACTTACCACTTTCAAATCATTGATTGTTGGTTTTAATCACATCTCTAGCACCTAGCTCTTTCTCTTTACTGTTGTGGGATTTGAAGCCACCTACCAATAGGATTATTAGTCTTCTTCCTTAGTTGATTCCTTTATCCTTATATGATGGATGTTCATCTTTATCCCCATTGTTCTGAAGCCATTTTTTCCCCAAAATTAATGTAGGCTCTTTGGTTAAAAATCAGTGCTTCATTATGTTCATTTTGGAGAATACCTGGCCATTGTTTCTTCATATATTTCTGCTCTATGTTCTTCCTCTTATTTTTCTGTGATTCCACTCACACTTTGGCTAGATCATTCTAAATCATCCTGCAGTGTTCGGACTCTCTGTTCTGTATTTCACCATCTTTTTCTCTCAACTTGAAATCCTTCCTTTGGCTTATTTTCAAAGTCACGGTTCTTTCCTCAGTCTGCTCTGAGGCCTGCTGGAATAATCTTTTGGTTCACTTTGATAGGTTCAATAATTTTCACTAAAGACTATGTTTATATTGTCCAGTTGCCCACTGAATCACTTTATTTAATTAATTAAAATATTTAATTTATTATTTTTATTTTATGTGTACGAGTGTATCCCTGCATGTATGTAAATGTGTTGTGTAATGCCCCATGGAGGTTAAAAGAGGGCATTGGACCTTCTGGAACTGGAACTACAGATGTTTTTCAGCCACCATGTGGGTGCTGGGAATAGAACTCAGGTCCTCTGCAAGAGCAGTCAGTGCTCTTAACTACTGAACCATCTCTCCAGCCCCTAATTAGTTTATTTTTGTGTGCATGAAAGTGTGCATACCCCAGCATGTGTGTGGAGGTTAGAGAACAACTTACGTTGGTTCTCTCCTTCCACTGTGTGGGTTCTGGGGCTAAAACTCAGATTTCCATGCTTGGCAGCAAGTGTTTTACCTGCTGAATTCTCTTGGCCCCACTTCATGCGTGTGTGTGTGTGTGTGTGTGTGTGTGTGTGTGTGCATTGATGTGTGAGGGTGTGCACATATTCATGTGTGTGTAGAAGTGTGCTGTGTGTGCTTGTACAGGCCAGAGGTCAACCTCAGATGTGTTATTCTGCCAATAAACAAATTTGGCTTTGTTTCACCTTGAAATAAAACTCTACTTTCTCAGCCCTTGAGCACTACTGCTGTCGCCCATGTTTGTCTCTTTTTATTTATTATGTTATTATTGAGACAAGGTCTTTCTCTGGAGCCCAGCTGGCTTGGGACTCCCTATGTAGCCCAGGCTGGCCTTGAACTCATAGCCCAATCTCTTTGCCTTCATCTCCAAGTATTTGGACATGAGCTGCTATGTTCGTCTGCTTTTTATTAGTTTTTCTTTTCTCTTTTAAATGTTTTTTCAGCTTTTATTGTGGTGGTTTCAGTTTCCTGGTTGTTTAAAAAATTTATTATTATTATTATTTTAAATATTTTATTTATTATTTTTATATTTTAATGTGTATGTGTTCATTGCCTGCATGTCCCATGTCATGCAATGCCCTCAGAGGACAGAAGAGGCTGTCAGATCCCCTGGAACTGGAGTTATGGACAGTTGTTAGCTGCCATGTGGGTGCTGGGATTCGAACCCGGGTCTTCTGCAAGAACATTCAGTGTTCTTAATCACTGAGCCATCTCTCCAGCCCTATTATTTTTATTTTATGTGTATGAGTGTGTCTGCATGCGTGTTAGTGCACCCATGTTGTGCAGTACCTTTGGAGGTCGGAAAAGGGCACTGGATTCCCTGGAACTGGAGTTAAAGACCGTTGTTAGCCAACATTTGGGTGCTGGGAATCAAACCCAGGTCCACTGAAAGACCAACCAGTGCTCTTAATTGCTGAGCCATCTCTCCAGCCCAAGTTTCCTGATTGTTTTAAAGAACTATATTAAAGTGTCTTGTCTACCACTTGCCACACACACTACAAGTGTAATTCCCTAGACTATCATATGTCTTCTTATTTTATATATATTTTACTCTAAAATCAGAGGTAAAATTTTGTTTTGGCCAATAAATTTGTCAGATTTTCTAGTGAATACTTTGCTAAACGGAAGTTTGTATGGAAGCTAATGGTATTATGATTAGTTTGAAAACAGATGAATAGTTAGAAGGCAAAACATTATCATTGCTGTACTGAAATTTGGATATTGTTACACATGAGGAATTCAGAGATAAACAGTTGTTTGTTTGTTTTTAAAATGTCTTTTGCTTTATCTTTTGTGCTTTTGCTTTTCTTTTTATTTTATGTGTAAGCATGTATCGCATGCACGTATGCAAGTGTGTGCATGTCATACAGTGCCCTCTGAGGACAGAAGAGGGCATTGGATCCCTTGGAACTGGAGTTACAGATGGTTATTAGCCGTCATGTGGATGCTGGGATTTGAACCAGGGCTTCTGCAAGAACAATCAGTACTCTTAACCATTGAACCATGTCTCCAGCCTGCGTTGTTTGCTTATAGATAGCTGATATTTATAGATAGTAACACAAACTTTTAAACTCCACATTTTTAGTAATAAATCTCAATAATGTTGATTCTCAAATTTATTATTAATATTATTATTACTATTGTGTGTGTGCATGTCTAAGGATGACACAAAGGAGTCAGTTCTTTTCTTTCACCCTTTGTGAGTTCTGGGGATCAAACTCAGGTCATCAGGCTTGGGCAGCAAGTGCTTTTACCCTCTTAGCCATCTCACTGGCCCCTCAATAATACTGATTTTTATCAATATATATGATATCTTTTCCTGCTTTTTTAAAAGGAAAGGACAGATTTATTATTGTATGCACAGAATGCCTCCTATATTTGCTTTTGGTCTCAATGAAGTAGAGAGAGAGAGAGAGAGAGAGAGAGCGCTTGGGATTGAACTCAACACTTTGTGTATACTAAGTAAGCACTCAACCACTGAGCTACATCTCCAGCCTCACCATACACAAGGTTTCAGTTGCTGACTTAACTGAATATTAACAAAACTCATTACTAAGTTATGATTGCTACTTATGTGATGACTGTTAGTTACAGTGTCCTTCTGAACCAAGATTCAGTTCCAGTGAAGAAGGTGTTGACTCAGTTTTCTCTTTGTGACTTCAGCTTGTCATCAGTGTACAGAAAGTATTGTATTTGTCACACCACAGTGCCACTAGACTTGGTAATGGTTTTTGAAATGTTTGGTTTCCCTGAGGGATTCTAAATTAGTGTATACCAAATCTCTTTGTTTCTCTGGCCCCTTCTCACTTGTGCTATGAGGAAGTTGATAGTGCTACTCACACAGACCAATGTTTCTTTTTTTCTCCCTGTCTTTGTAATCTGGCACTTCTAATCTGTTGTGAACTTGGAGACCAAACAACAGCTTTTGAAAATTTCTTACAAAACAAGAGGTAGAAGGAGTTTTCATATAACACTGATAGGCAGTTTGTTGATTAAAAAATTTAAAAGTTATTGTAATTTATTTAAAAATTTTATTTTATGTGTATTTATGTGTGTATTTGCCTGCACGTATGTATGTGTAGCATGTGTGTGTCTGGTGCCCAAACAAGACCAGAAGAGGACATTAGATCCCCTGGAACTGGAGTTACACATGGCTCTGAATGCCATGTGGATGTTGAAAACTGAACCCAGGTCTTCTGCAAAAGCAGCAAGTGTTCTTAACCACTGAGCCATCTCTAGCACCATTTCTTTCTTTATTAAAGCCTGTAAAGGCAGGGTCTCCTTACGTAGCCCAGGTTGGCCTTGAAGGCATGGAACTCCTCCTGCTTCAGCTTCCTGAGTACTGTGATTACAGGTGTGAACTACCACACTTGGACAAATATATATTTAAGTACAAAAATTTACTTGATAATTATATTCTAAATACTAGAGTGATATTTATTACTATGAGAAAAACTGTTCTGCAAAAATTCTACAGAATATACAAAATACTGTCTAAAAGTATCCCACTGAACTCACTCTATTATGACCAACCTTTAAAGCTAAATGTTAAGTGACACGTTCTCTTTACTCAGAATTGAGGAATAAAACTAAAAGGACTTTGCTTCCTACATCTCTTTACAGACGAGTGGACTGGCAGTGATGTTGCACAGACCATGTGACATCCTTTCTGTCCTTCTTCCCAGCTTCAGAATATTTTTAAGATATTTCATTTTAGTTAAAGAAGTTAGTTATGGGGATGTTTCATATAAAAATACGATAAAATAATGTTATGGATGTTTCATATAATAAGATACAATAAAAGAAATTTGATATACTAGCAACCATGACATAGACAACCCATGACATAAAAAATAAGGCAAACTCAGAAGATGTAATTAAGCTATTGTGCCTTTGGGGGTGGCCTGAGTTTGGCCCATGAGAGAGAGAGAGAGAGAGGGAGAGAGAGAGAGAGAGAGAGAGAGAGGAAACTTACAGCCAATGTAGCCGGGGCATGTGCTGACAGAGAGGCTTGTCTGGCAGACGAGTGAGGAAGTTATTCATCAGCGCCCTAAAAAGGAAAGAATGCATGGAAGTCACTTTTCTGGTTCCTGTCTATCTTCAGTCACAGTGTTGCCAACAGTTTCAAATTATGAAAATCTCCTGAATCTGTTGTCTTCCCCACTAATTTCTCTCTGTACACCTGCAATACTAAAGTGTTTTGGCAGTAATACAATTTCTACACACACACGTGTTCAGGCAGAAGCAACAATGCGAACAGGCTCATGCCTATCAACAGCAGGCTGTGAAGAGGAAGACTCTATGAAGATTAGGTTCTTCCTTTACCAAAGTTGATGCATATAAGGAACAGGTGCTTAAGAACATTTCAGAGCAGTGTGATGGCAAGACTGAGCTTAGTGTTGATGGGCAGAAAAACCTTAAAAATTTATTAGGTCTCTAAATAGCTTTAGAGAATATGATCAAAATGTTTTTGAACTGAGAAAGCTTCTTTGGTCTTTAATGATTCCAAATTTAATGCTACACTTCTTCTTAATTTTACATTTCCATCTCTTTCTCCAGTTGAACTTTTTCTTTGAGACAGGGTCTCCCTGTAGCTCCAACTAGCCTGGAACTCATTATATAGACCAGGCTGGCCTCAATCTCACAGAGATCCTCCTGCCTCTGCCTCTGAGTGCTGGGATTAAAGGCATACACTACATGCCTGACTGAAAATTAAAAAATTATTACATCTATATATCTATCTATCATCTATCTCTCTATCTCTCTCTTTCTATCAAACATCTATTATCTATCATCTATCTATCTATCAACATCTATCATCTGTTTATCATCTACCTACATACTTATCATGTTTGTGTGTGTGTGTGTGTGTATGTGTGCGTGTGTACATGCCATGACACACTATGGAGTCGACAACTTGTGGAGTCAGTCCTCTCTTTCCACCATGTAGACTCTGGGAATCAAATTCAGGTTGTCAGACTTGGTAGTAAGAACCTTTACCTGCTGAGCCATCTCAAAACCCTGTTTGTTTTAATTTAATACTTACAAGAGAATAAGAGAATTTAGTCCATAAAATGTTAGTGGGGAAATTTGGCTGAGGTGATTATCTTCAATTATCCTGCCAGCAAGAAGAAGAGAGCACATTCACTTATACGTACTTTGAGAACGTTAAATCCAACATAAGGAAAGGCCACACAAGTTAAACATACAGCCATTCCAGTCTGTGGAGATCTCCAAAGACCCCTGGCTTCAGGAAGGTTATTCTGTTATGGCTGAGGTACCTGGGAAAAGAGAAGTAGCTGAAATGAGTTGATTCTTTCTGATGTTTAAATTTTTTTTGATTTATTATTTTATGTGTATGAGTGTTTTGCTTGTGTGTATATAAGTGCACCCATGTGTGTAATGCCTGTGAAGGCCAGAAGAGGGCTTTAGAGCCCCTGGAGCTGGAGTTAAGGACAGTTGTTAGTTGCCATGTGGGTGCTGGGAACTGAATCTGGGTCCTCGGTAAGAGCAGCCAGTACTCTTAACTGCTTAACCTCTGAGCCATCTCTCCAGCTTTTTTTTTTCTTTTTTCTTTTTTTTTTTTTTATGTTTTACAATAAGGAAAGTGAAAGGGATCCTTGCCCTTAAATTTTCTCACATATTGCTCTCCCCACACTTATTTCTGCCTTTGAAACTTTATGGCTCTTATCACTTACCATGCCATTTCTAGCTTTAATTTTCTCACAATTAACTAATTAATTGGCTCATGTTTTCATAACCTACTCATTTATTCATCAAATTATTTTAAGCATCTCTTCTGGCTGTTGTTATCTGGCTAGGTATCAGTCAATGGTCTGTGGGTCAAAGGCTTTGTTCCCAGGGGCCACTTCTGGGAGAGACTGTGAGCCTTTAGAAGGTAGGGTCCTTTGGGAGTCCTCAGGTCATGGGGTCTCTCTCTCTCTCTCTCTCTCTCTCTCTCTCTCTCTCTCCCTGCCATGAGGTGAGTGGTTTGCTGTGATTTGCTGTGACACATGCTCCCACCAGAATGTGACGCCTCCCCACAGGCCCAACGTAATGGGGTCAGTCTATCACAAACAAATCACAGTAATTGTCAAAATACTGTTCTCTTTATAAGTTATCTCAATAATTTTGTTATAGTGACAGATAATAAATGTGATGGTGCTGTACCAAGCATTCATCCCATTCCTCGGGACTTTGAATCTGGTATGTCAGCAAGTGATTAGGCAACATTCAAAAACCAGAGGGACATGCCAATATGTCATTGATCTTCACTGCAGAGCAGAAAGTACCTGATTTGTTAAGAATGGAGACTGCAGAGGGTGTGACCTTGGGTGGGACTCCTACACTAAACCTCACCCACCCATGGCTCGGGTCCATTGTGGGAGAGAGGGCAGAAAGATTGCAAGAGCCAGGGTTGGCACATTAATGTAAGGAAACAGAGGCTTTCAGGCCACTGAGAATTTGCTCATATGAAGTTGAAACAACAGTGGCAGCATGCACAAGACCCATGCCAAATCAATCAGCCAAAACCCCAGGACAGAACGAAGGAAATGAGCAGCAGACCCCAACCCCAGCCTAGGAACTGTTGGCAACTGATTACTGTGGGGTTAAGGAGAGTAGATCTTTAAGGAAGAGACTCTAGATAGGCTGACTAGACTCCAGTGGATAAACTTGCACCAAGGAACATCTGGGCACAAATGCTTGACTGGATAGGACATATATGACATATATATGAACATATATGAACATATATGACAATACCTGAAATCTGGTGGGGGGTTATGGGGAGAACAGATGGGGGTGGGGGCTCTAAATTTGATTAAGATCTATGATATAAAGTACACAAAAACTCAATAAAAATATTTTAAAAAGGAAAACAATAAAAAGAGTGGGGACTGAAATATACGGGCAACAAGGGAACAGGAAGATTTTACTAAAGGAGGCACAACTGAGAAGGGTCTTAGGTGAAGATGTGGTTTTCACAAAGCAAAGAACAGGCAGGAGCTATTTTAGGCAAAGCAAACAGCTCATGCACAAATCAAGAAGTACAAGAGAGCAAGACGGGAGATCATCAGGCAATTCAGAGAGCCTCACCATCATAGGGCTGTGGGTACACACCTGGGAGGTGAAGGGGCTGTTCTGGAAGAGGACCACTCACACTTTATTAAAGGATTTGTCTCTATTTTGCCTATCCACCTTTACTTCTCTGTTCTGCAAATGAACCAGCTCTGTTATATTGTGTTACCTCCTTTCACTAAGTTCATTTCTGTCTCTTTACTGAAGGGACTTTGCATTGAATCTGTTATTACCTTGGTTCTACAATTGTCTATTAGTGTGAACTTGAGCAAGCAAGTACTTCCTGTAAACCTCAACTTCCTCATTTCTAAGAGGAGCAAAGTTCCCTCATGGGGCTGCTGTGACACTGAGACACGACATGCCACCCACACTCTGCATGTATCTGTTAGAATGTTTCTGCCCACATCTCTGCCTATGATTCATGTGCAAGCATCAGTTAAAGTTTTACTTCCACACATACATGGAACACAATGGTTCTCTCCATTGTTTTTCCTTTGGGCAATTAAAAAAAATGACAGGGTCTCAGCTAGTCAAGGTAGGCCTCCCAACTTCTGAGACTTGCCTTGAACCCCCAATCCTTCTATTTCTGCCTCCTATATGTTGGCATTTTAGGTAAGCACTACTACACATGGCTTTATGTGGTGCTGGGAACACACCCAGGGTTTTAGGTGTGTTAGGTAAGCATTCTATCAACTGAGCTACATCCTGACCCCTTTTGTTTCCCTCCCTTCCTTCCTTCCTTCCTTCCTTCCTTCCTTCCTTCCTTCCTTCCTTTTCTTCTTCTCCTCCTCCTCCTCCCTCCCTCCCTCCCTCCTTCCCTCCTTCCCTCCTTCCTTCCTTTCTCCCTCCTTCCTTTCTTTCCTCCTTCCCTCCTTCTTCCTTCCTTCCTTCCTTCCTCCCTCCCTCCCTCCACCTCTCTTTCTCTCTCTCTCTCTCTCTCTCTCTCTCTCCCTTTCTCCCTTACTCCCCCTCTCTGTTTCCTGGAGCTGCTCCGCCCTGCCGTGCCCTGTCTACATGATGACTTCTGAATTGTACACCATAATAAATCTTGTACCCTTTAAGTTCTTTCTGTCAATTGTTTCCCACAGCCGAGAAAGTACACCTGGTACTGAACTATACTTCCTGGATTATCATCCTAAAAGAACTAAACGCAGAGACTCAGACCTTGAACTCTCTTATCATAGCAGTATTATTCATAAAAAGATTGGAATTCCACAAGTGTTGGCAGACAGATACATGAATAAACAAAACATGATATAATATAATATTATGCAGCTTAAAATAAAGGAAATTCCAAAGATGGGCATGGTGGTACACACTTATCATCTCAGCACTCAGGAGGCAGAGGGAGGTGACATGGAGGTCAGCCTGGTCTACAGAGTGAGCTCCAGGCCAGCTGTGGCTACAGGGAGACCCTGTCTCAAACAAACGAACAAACAAAGAAACAAACAAACAAATGAAACAAAAAAGGGAAATTCTGACAGATCTACACAAAGAAGAACACCAAAGGCATTGTGCTAAATGAAATAAATAAAATAAGCCAAATATTTTATGATTCCACAGTTGAAAGCTTTGATCTTTTAAATTTACAATGCAGTGCACATTTAAAATATTTTATTATTTTTATTTTTGTGTATGGGTGTGTTGTCTGCATGTATGTAGGTGCACCTGTGCCATGCAATGCCCATAGAGGACAGAAGAGGGTATTGGATCCCCTGGAACTGGAATTACTGATGGCTGTTAGCTGCCATGTGGGTGCTGGGAATTGAACCTGGGTCCTCTGCAAGAGCAGCTAGTGCTCTTAACCATGGAGTCATCTCTTCAGTCCCACAGTACATATTTATAAAGCAGGATTAAAAATTATAAAAGGATAATTGAAGCGTTGGGGTACTTTGGCAATAGGGTGTGTGCTTAGCATGTATAAGACACAGACCTCAATCCTCAATATGAAAGGAAAAATGAAATAAACAAAATCCCCTGAATAACTGGGGGAATTCTTTCTTCTTTATAAATATGCCATTAGGCTTTCTCACTTTGACTAAGTTCCTTGAGTTGTCACTCCTGTGCCATGGCATAATGAGATCATCTTTGTACCTTCCTCAGTATACCTAATGTTTCCTTTGAATTTTTTCACTTGTTTCCACAGCAGCCCGAGATAGGTGCAACCATAGTATGTATTATACAACAGCTAGAGCTGATGCTTAGAAACAGAAATAAATTGCTCAAGGCCACTCACCTGGCAAGGAATGAAATCAGGGCTCACTCTGAAGCCTGCATGACTCCCAATCCCACGCTCTCCACCACCGTCCTGTACTGACCCTTCAGCACTAGCTGAATGCCTCTGGCACTGTTTCAAGCAGGCTGGTCTGGACAGAGATGGGTTAGCCTGACACAGTGTTGTCGAGAGAGTCATTTAGCCCTGGTACTTACAGTTTAGTGAGGCTGTGCAGTCCTCTGAAAGCTGAGGTGGATACAGACTGGATCTTGTTGTTTTGCAGGCACCTGTGTCCATTGGTCAAAAGGAAAACAAGGAAAGAGTGTCAGTTTTGTAAGAGGAAAGAGCTGTGTGGGTGGCAGTGTTGACCGCAGCAGTGACAAGGTGCAGGTGCTGACTGCCTCGGTATGCTAGGGCCGCTGATATCTGAAGTCTTACGTACATTTTACCAAAATTAAAAATCAGCATGTTAGGGACGGCAGATACAGTGGAATAACTAATTGAAATATTGTGTCATTTTATTTTTCTGTTAAATTCATGTATGCATGACCAGTTTTTAAAAGTTGAGTCTATAAATGGACATAGTATCAAACTACCCTCTAAATTCAGATCTCTGTACCCATAGACTAATGCACCTCCCAGATCTCATTAGAGAATCTCTCTGTGTAGTGAGTGGTGGTTAACACAGAAATTCACAACTGGTCAAAGTGCAGAGAATAAGTGACTGTGGAGTGCTCAGCCACAAATGGGACATCTATATCATAACTGCCTCCCCAAGGCTCAGGTCCATCATGGAGGAGGGAGCAAAGTGGTGGGGGGCAGGAAAGATTTTAAGAACTGAGGTTGGGAGGACTGGAATGAAGCAGTGTTTTCTGGACATGACAGGACCTCTGCACTCATGAATTCAGAGTAGCTGAGGCTGCCTTCAAAGACCTGCAGAAGATCAGCCCAGTCAACATTCCATCATGGGGAGGGGAGGGGCTCACGAATCCCTACCCCTAACTGAGGAGCTATTGACAGGAGCTGTTTCTTTAAGGGTGTGGCCCTGGTAGGTTGTCCATGCTCTAGTGGATGTCCACAGACCCATGAATATGTGGCCAGTGCAAACTGGACTAGGTGGGTTCTAGAAAAAACAAAACCGAAAAGAGGACATGAAGTTGGGAGGACGCAGGAGGTGAGGGTGCATCTGGGAGGAGTTAGAGGGAAGAGTGGGGGAGGGTAAATACAATAAAAATTCATCATATAAAATTCCCAAAGGATTAATAAAATATAAAAAGTTGAAGCTATGAAGGTGTACAGTCAGAAGCTAAATTTACCATTTGAATTTTCTAAAAACAGAACTAATGCACAATAAAACCCTCACTGATCTCATGGCCCAGAAGATTTTTAAATGTTTCTTACTAGAGTTACTCAAGTTTGTAAAGTGCTCTCTAGAACCAGCAAAGCCTTAAGTATATTGTTACTGTCCTCCCCTGGAGCCAGCCAGAGGGGGACACAGGGTCCCTGCTGATATGGGGGTTAAAGGCGCAGAGTCACGACACAGACACCGGGAGTCCAGTGAAAGCAAGCAGAGAGCGAGCTGCTGCAGACTCGTTTGTTCCGGGAAGCGTTTGGGGTTATAAGGGGTTGGCTAGCCAATCATGGTTTCCCATTCCATCCTATGATATCCAATGGCAGTCTGTCTCTGGGCAGATCATCTCTCAGCATGTTGTCATTGCCATGCCCTTTCCCCATTCCTTATGGCAGGTGGCCTGAGCTGGGCCTGGTTCTTTGTTATGCCATACAGTATATGACGTCTTTAATGCTGCAAACTACTCCACAGTAACCCCAAATCTTCTAAGCAAATCAACTTCAGTTTTATTAATTTGACACGCTAACCCTGATTCACAAAAGTACTTGAGAGGACTTACAAGGAGGAAAAATTGCAGAAGAGTAATATATGAATTTTAACAAGTCAGGACTGGAAGAACATAAATTAAGTTAGAATGTCAAGACAAAAGACAGTCTTACATGTGAACTAAAGTCATCCTAGAAATTTGGTCATGAGCTGACTGGATGTGAGCAGACACAGGGTCCAGTGGGTAAGCTCTCCTGTGTGCAGCTCTGGACATCTGGGCACCTGCCCTGGGTTGTGAAGGATGATGAAATAAAGATGTCAAGCCCATCTCCTTGTTTGGAATGGAAGTCCTCATTGCTCTAGAGGCTCCCTAAGTTTGTATGTAACTTGTTAGGAACAATAAAGGAGAAATCAATGCAAATGAACTTTTAGTTAATTAAAAAAGAGTCCCCATTTCTCTAATATGTGAGAAAACCTAACTTTAACTGCAAAATGATATTATGAAATTGATTGTGCATCTCAAAGTTTCACATGACATGCTGTAAACCCTGTCATGTAGGAGGCAATACATCTTTCTCAATAGTACACAGGAAGACTTTAAGATGTATTTATTTGTTTTTAACTGTGATAGCCATACGTTAAGAACTAGACCGAATTGTTTACATGTAGAGTCAAGTGTACCTATAAAAACCAATCAGAATGCTTTGTTATTAGGCTAGTTTGATCATTTGTTACTTGGAATAAATTGGTGGCTCAAGAATTAATTCAAAGGGACTGGAGAGATGGCTCAGTGGTCAAGAGCACTTACTGCCCTTGCCCTCTTCTGGCCTCTGTGGGAATTGCATGCATGTGGTGCACTTATAAACATGCAGACAAAACAGTCATACACACAAAATAAAGATACGCACAAAATTGTTTTTTAAGGGGAGATGCTTTTTTTTTTTTTTTTTTTTGCCTTTTCTGAGACAGGATCTCCCCTGTAGCCCCAGCTTGTCTAAACTCACTATGTAGACAAGCTCTCAAACTCACTGAGATCCACCTGCCTCTGCCTCCCAAGTTGTTCTGGGATTAAAGGTGTGAGCCACCATATCCGGCTTTTTTTTTTTTTTTTTTTTTTTTTCTGTTAAAAAAAGAAATTCAAGAGCCAGGAGTGGTGGCTTATACCTGTAATCTCAGTACTTGGGACACCGAGGCAGGAAGATTGTCATAAATTCTAGGCAGCCTGAGCTATGGAGTGAGACTATATCTTAAAAACCAAACCAAAAAACTTTATTGTGCAAGAACAATAAAGTACTGTATTTTTTGATTCTATTTGTAGCCGAATTGCCATTTAAACATGTGACCACAAGGTGGTGCTATAGACCAGGAAGCGCCTTGGACTGCAGCCACACAAAACTGAGCACTCCCTGAAGTTTTTGTGGCTGGTCTAATTTTGAAGGGCTTTTCTTTGTAGACTTAGATATGCTCAGAAAGAAGTTCTGGAAAATCGTTGTCATTTGAATTTTTAAAAATATTAAATATATTTTTCTGAAGATTATCTGGAAATTTAGAACATTTTATTGTATGAAAAACCCTGTTTTTTCTTTTGGTTCTGCTCTATTTCCATCTCTTATTATTTTTATACCATTGTCAACTTTATTACACAATTTTCAATCTATCAGTGAGACATAAAAATCTTGATAACAGGAGGCAGGGCCTTTGCTTTCTGAGAGTTGAGTATTTTTTACTTCCTTTTGTCATCAGGAAACAAATCTAAAAGTTATGTCTGCGGTGAGCACAGATGGACATGTGTGTGTCTTTTCAGCATGTCAGAATTTATTGATTAACAATTTTACAAGCTTCACTGCTTTCATTGGCTGCAATCTACAAAGTCCTGCTCTCCTTTGCCAGCATGGCCATTGGCAATCACAGGATCTGTGATTTCAGTCTTAATTACTAACATTAACTCTCAGATCACACCTTATACTTCACACACACACACACACACACACAGACACACACACACACACACACACACACACACACTCACACACACACACATGGTTGCAACAGGGTTTTAGAAGCTGCAGACTTCAAGGAGGCCTTACTGAAGGCAGAGGCAGAGATCTGATGCAGATGCATCAGCCACTGTATGTGGATAGATTAGCTATTAACAAGCTCAGTTAGAGACCTGCTGGAGGCAGGCACAGCGGCAGAGCTGAGCTGGTCAGCTCACCTGTGGAGGTGAGGCACTGGGTTAAGTTTGGATGGAAGGTTGGATGACAGTCTGAATGGGTCTATTCGTGTGTTGGGAACTTCGCTGAGCAGAAGTTCCTGGGACAGTTGGGAGTTCTCTGTTAGTCCTTGGCAGATGCACAGATATGGTCAGATGACAGGTTAATGAAGCCATCAGCATCACGGTTCTAGGTGCTCTCCCTTTTATGGGTTCAGATGAGGGTGCTGCACCCTTTGTTTGTCTGGTGTGTTCAGTAAGTTCACGGGCCTGGTTTTCATGATGTGGTGTGAATATACATATGTGGCCATGAATTCCCAAACTACTTTAATAAATTTATAGGTGGTATTCTTTAACTTGTAGGTATGAGTTACTTAACAGTCTATGTCTCATTGTTTGTGCTAGTGTTATCCATGTGCACAAACACAATTGTATTAGTTACTTTCTCTGTTGCTGTGACAAAATATTAGACAAGAAGTAACTTAAAGGAGAAGGGTTTATTTTGGCTTACAGTTTGAGGGGATACTCTCCATCATGGCAAGGAAAGCCCTGCCAGAGGAGCAGGAGGCAACAGGTCATACTGCATTCACAGTCTGGAAGCAGAGAAAGAACAGGAAGTGGGGCTGTGCTATAAGACCTCAAAGCTCATCCCCTGCCACCACTTCCCAGTGAGGGTTTACTTCCTAAAGGCTCCATGACTTTCCAAAATATCACTACCAGCTGAGGAACAAGAGTTCACACATGGATGCCTATGGGGGCATTTCACATTCAAAGCACAACAGCAGAGCAGACTCAGTCTGTCTCTGCATTTATACACAACAGAGAGTCAACTGCTGCTTTGTCAAATGGAGCCTCCCAGGGCAAGGCACATCCTGAAAGACACTGTTTCATACAACTAAGCAGGACAGTAGTTTAGAGCAGAACAAAGTCTGATCACCATAGTGTAAAATCAAATCAAAACAGAAATGAGTAAAAACAAAACAAAAATGGGGAGAAAATTATTCTGTAGTTTCACAGCTTTTCTCACATTCTGTATGTTTTTCCTTAATCTATCATCTTGATTTTCTCTGCACTAAATTTCCCACGCCCCCAGGACTGGAGAGATGGCTCAGTGGTTAGGATTACTGGCTGCTTTTGCAGAGGACCCAGGTTTGATTCCCAGCAAGCACATGGTGGCTAACTATCTGTAACTCCAGTTCCAGGGGACCCAATGCCCTCTTCTGATCTCCACGGGCATT